TTCTTTTTACTGAATATTGCCTTGGCTATTTGTGGCCTCTTGTGTTTCCATATAAATTTAACAGTAGATTTTTCAATCTCTTTAATGAATGTTATTGGAATTTTGATGGGAATTGCATTAAACATGTAGATTACTTTTGGGAGTATAGACATTTTTACTATGTTGATTCTACCAATCTATGAGCATGGGAGATCTCTCCATTTTCTATAGTCTTCCTCAATCTCTTTCTTCAGAAGTTTATAGTTTTCCTTGTAGAGGTCATTCACATCCTTTGTTAGTTTACACCTAGGTATTTGATTTTTTTTTGAGGCTATTATAAATGGAATTGTTTTCATACATTATTTTTCAGTTTGTTCATTGTTAGTGTATAGAAATGCTAATGATTTCTCTTTGTTGATGTTATATCCTGCTACCTTGCTATAGCTATTGACGGTGTTAAGAGTTTTTGAGTAGAGTTTTTTGGGTCTTTAAGGTACAGGATCATATCATCTGCAAATAGGGATATTTTGACAGGTTCTTTCCTATTTGTATTCCTTTTATTCCTTCTTCTTGCCTAATTGCTCTGGCTAGGAATTCCAGTACTATGTTGAATAGGAGTGGAGATAGTGGGCATCCTTGTCTGGTTCCTGATTTTAGAGGTAATGGTTTCAGTTTTTCTCCGTTAAGTATAATGATGGCTGTAGGTTTGTCATATATAGCTTTTATGATGTTGAGGTAGTTTCCTTCTATTCCTAGTTTTCTTAGAGCTTTTATCATGAAATGGTGTTGGATCTTATCAAAGGCTTTTTCTGCATCTATTGAGATGATCAAGTGGTTTTTGTCTTTGCTTCTGTTAATGTGGTTTATTACGTTTATTGATTTTCGTATGTTGAACCACCCCTGCATTCTTGGGATGAAGCCTACTTGGTGGTGGTGAATAATCTTTTTGATGTGTTGTTGAATTTGGTTTGCCATTATTTTGTTGAGGATTTTTGCATCAATGTTCATTAAGGAGATAGGCCTGTAGTTCTCTTTTTTGGAGGTGTCTTTGCCTGGTTTTGGGATAAGTGTAATACTGGCTTCATAAAATGTGTTACGCAGTTTTCCTTCCCTTTCTATTTCGTGGAACAGTTTAAGGAGGGTTCTTTAAAGGTCTGATAGAATTCAGCAGAGAATCCATCAGGTCCTGGACTTTTCTTTTTTGGGGAGACTCTTGATTGCTGCTTCAATTTCATTTTGTGTTATAGGTCTATTCAGGTGATTAATTTCCTCTTGGTTCAGTTTTGGATGATCATAGGTATCTAGAAATCTGTCCATTTCTTTTAGATTTTCAAATTTATTTGAATATAGGTTCTCAAAGTAGTCTCTGGTGATTTCCTGGACTTCCATGGTGTTTGTTGTTATCTCCCCTTTTGCATTCCTGATTCTACTAATTTGGGTTTTTTCTCTCCTCATTTTAGTCAGGTTTGCCAGGGGTCTATCGATCTTGTTTATTTTTTCAAAGAACCAAGTTTTTGTTTCATTAATTCTTTGTATGGATTTGTTTGTTTCTATTTCATTGATTTCAGCTCTTATTTTTATTATTTCTCTCCTTCTATTTGTTTTGGGATTTGCTTGTTCTTGTTTTTCTAGGAGTTTGAGATGTATCATTAGGTCATTGATTTGGGATCTTTCAATCTTTATAATATATGCACTCATGGCTATAAACTTTCCTCTTAGGACTGCCTGTGTCCCATAGGTTCCGGTAGGTTGTGTTTTCATTTTCATTGACTTCCAGGAACTTTTTAATTTCCTCTTTTATTTCATCAATGATCCATTGTTCATTAAGTAATGAGTTATTTACTTTCCAGCTGTTTGCATTTTTTTTGTCTTTACTTTTGTTGTTGAGTTCTACTTTTACTGCATTGTGATCAGATAGTATGCACAGTATAATTTCTACTTTCTTATATTTGCTGAGGCTTGCTTTGTGCTCTAGGATATGATCTATTTTGGAGAAGGTTCCATGGGCTGCTGAGAAGAATGTATATTGTGTAGAGGTTGGATGAAATGTTCTGTAGACATCTACTAGGTCCATTTGATCCTTTGTATATTTTTGATCTTGGATTTCTTCAGTGATTTTTTGTTTGGATGACCTATCTGTTGATGATAATGGGATGTTAAAGTCTCCCATGATCATTGTGTTAGAGTTAATATATGCTTTTAAGTCTTTCAGGGTATGTTTGATGAAATTGGGTGCATTGACACTGGGTGTATATAGGTTGATAATTGTTATTTCCTTTGGTCTATTTCCCCTTTTATTAGTATGGAATGTCCTTCTTTATCTCATTTGATCAATGTAGGTTTGAAGTCTACTTTGTCAGAGATAAGTATTGCTATTCCTGCCTGTTTTCAGGGGCCATTGGCATGGTAAATCTTCTTCCAGCCTTTCATCCTAAGCCTATGCTTATTTCTGTCAATGAGATGGGTCTCCTGTAAGCAACAAAATGTTGGATCTTCCTTTTTAATCCATTTCATCAAGCAGTGCCTTTTGATGGGTGAATTAAGTCCATTAACATTAAGTGTTAGTACTGATAGGTATGTGGTGATTCCTGTCATTTAGTTGTCTTAGTTGTTTGAAGGTTTGATTGTGTGTACCTAAAGTTGAGGTTACTCTCTACTTTCTTGCTGTTTCTTTTCCTGTGGTTTGGTACTGTCTGCCCTTTCATGGTTAAGTTGGGTTTCACTTTCTGTGTACAGAATCCCTTGAAGAATCTTTTGTAATGGTGGCTCTGTGGTCACATATTGTTTTAGTTTCTGCTTATCATGGAAGACTTTTATTGCTCCATCTATTTTGAATGATAGTTTTGCTGGGTAGAGTATCCTGGGGTTGAAGTTATTTTCATTCAGTGCCCGGAAGATCTCACCCCACGCTCTTCTTGCTTTTAATGTTTCTGTTGAGAAGTCTGCTGTGATTTTGATGGGTTTACTTTTGTATGTTATTTGTTTTTTCTCTCTTGCAGCCTTCAATATTCTTTCCCTAGTTTCTGAACTTGTTCTTTTAATGATGATATGTCGTGGGGTAGTTCTATTTGATCTGGTCTATTTGGTGTCCTGGAGGCCTCTTGCATCTGTATGGGAATAGCTTTCTCTAGATTTGGGAAATTTTCTGTTATTATTTTGTTGAATAGATTATGCATTCCCTTCGCTTGCACCTCTTGTCCTTCTTCAATGCCCATGATTCTCAAGTTTGGTCTTTTGATGGAGGTGAGTTCTTGCATTTTCTTTTCTCAGGTCTTGAGTTGTTTAATTAATAGTTCTTCAGTTTTTCCTTTAATTACCATTTCATCTTCAAGTTCTGAGATTCTGTCTTCTGTTTGTTCTATTCTGCTGGATTGGCCTTCCTTTTGTTTTGCAGTTCTGTTTCATTCTTTTTTCTGAGGTTTTCCATATCCTGGTGGTTTCCTCTTTAATGTTGTCTATTTTTGTCCTGAGTTCATTTATCTGTTTATTAATTGTGTTCTCTGTTTCACTTTGGTGTTTATACAGTGCTTCTATGGTTTCCTTTATTTCTTCTTTTGCTTTTTCAAATTCTCTATTTTTGTTGTCTTGGAATTTCTTGAGTGTCTCCTGTACATTTTGGTTGACCCTATCCAGTATCATCTCTATAAAATTCTCATTGAGTACTTGTAGTATGTCTTCTTTAAAATTATTCTTGTGGGCTTCATTGTGTCCTTTGGCATAGTTTATCTTCATTTTGTTGGAGTCTGGATCTGAGTTTCTTCTCTTCATTCCCCTCTGGTTCCTGTACTAATTTTTTGCTGTGGGGAAACTGGTTTCCCTGTTTTTTCTGTCTTCCCGTCATTGTCTTTGGTGTTGTTACTGTTCCTGTGCTATGTGCAATTAAGTATTTTCTAGCTTGTAATAATAACAATGGTAATATTTAGAATGGAAGGGTGAGAGGAGATCGAAAGCAAGAAGTTAAAAAAAAGGGAAAAACAAATAAACAGACCAGTAGGAAAAAACAAAACAAGAAATCCAACAAAGAAGTTTCAAAGATATAAACAGGGAGCGTTAGTGTACTAATCGATAGTAAGCTGAACAGGCATTAGAGAGACAGAGAGAGGATTGAAAATAAAAAATAAAAAGGATAAAGATAAGAATAAAAATATAAAATAAGTAAATGGAAGAAATATATATATATAAAATAAAACAAAATGAAAAATAGAAAATAAAGAAAAAAACCTCCAAGTTCAAATGCAATGAAGTTTCAGTCTTAATAATTTTGCTGGCCTCAGATGTTGTTCTGTAGTTGTCTCATCAAAGGGGATGCATGAAGTAGAACAAAACTTGTCTGCATCTTCCTAAGCCATCTGGGCATGGGTGACTGGTGGCCCCGGGGCCCTCCTGGTTTCACTGTTTAATGTGAAATGGAGATTCTCTGTGCTGGCTAGAGGTGTGGAGGGGTCAAAGTTTTGCCTCTTCTTGGTGGTTTTGCCTGCAAGGTGTGTCTCCAGTGTCTCTCCAAGATTTCACTATAGTGAAAGGAGGAGGCATGCTTTCTGCTTCCTCCCTCTAGCTGCCATCTTGGAATCCTCCACAGAAAAATTCTTTGATTTTTCTCAGTGTTGCAGTAATATTTTCCAATTGTGACTTCACAAAATTTATGCTTTTCTCCTTATTTCAGAGGTACAGAATGCTTCAGGAATAAAGATTAAGCATCATATCTATGAATTATTTGACACATACAAGTGGAATAAATTTCTCCATATGTTGGGACATATGAATGACTTCTTCATTATAACTTTTACTACAATAATCACAAAAAGCAGGTAATCATTCCTTTGCACTGTTTTCTTCCCTATTAGAATGTTGATATCTAGAGTTAGGAATGAGTCCTATTTTTTAATCTAGCTTTGGAGTAAAAAAACAATTATCAAATATAAATAACAAACTAATAAATAAAGACATCAGCAGAAGAATGGACAAATGAATATGCAAGAATCAGCACCATTCTACAGTTGAAACAGCCAGTAATTTTCATCATGTCATTGTCAAATAATACCAATTTCCACCCCAGAACCTTTCTTCTCCAGGGCATTCCTGGAATGGAAGCCATTCACACCTGCTTATCAGTGCCCTTCTGCCTTGTTTACATGGGTGCTCTCCTGGGAAATTTCTCTGTTCTCTTAATTATCAGAATGGATCCCAACCTCCATGAACCAATGTACTTGTTTCTCTGTATGCTCTCTGTGGCTGATCTGATCATCTCTAATACTGCCATGCCTAAAATCCTCAGCATTTTTTGGTTCCATGACAGAAAGATCTATTTTGAAGCCTGCCTTTTACAAGTATTTCTTATTCATTCACTGTGTAGCATGGCCTCAGGGTTTATCTTGGCAATGGCCTTTGACCGCTATGTAGCAATCTGCAATCCTCTGAGACATTCTACTGCCCTGACTTACAGAGTCATCTGGAACTTGGGGCTGGCTATTGTTTTTTGTGGGACTTTGCTTTTCAGTCCTCAGCCATTCATGCTGAGGTGGCTTCCCTACTGTAGAACTAATATCATTCCTCATACTTACTGTGAATTCATGGCTCTGATCAAGCTTGCTTGTGCGGAGAACAGGATCTACAGAATATACAGCGTAACTTCTGCCTTCCTAACTGGAGGTTTAGATTTTATAGTAATCATATGTTCTTATGTAGTCATCCTTTACACTGTCTTCCATCTTCCATCAAAGGCTGCTCAGTTCAAGACCTTGGGTACCTGTGGATCCCATGTGTGTGTGATCTTAGTAGCCTATACTCCAGCCTTTTTCTCCTTCCTTACTCACAGGTTTGGGCATAATGCAGCTCCCCATATTCACATCTTTGTGGCTAACATCTACTTCCTTCTTCTACCCATGGTGAACCCAATGATTTATGGCATAAGAACCAAGAGAATCAGAGAACATTTCCTTCAAGTTTTGACATCTCACAAACTCTAAAACAACCAGCTTGTCCTTTAACAAGTTTTCATGACTTATGAAAACAAAACACAAAGTAACAACAACAAAAATGAACTCTTTTGTAGAAGTGTGACTACCTACAACTTCCACTTATAATGTGTAAAATATTAATTTGTAATGATTAGATTTTGTAATCCTAGTAAATTTGCTTAGAAGATATCTGACTTGGGTAATTTATGCCTGATATGTTTGCTTCATAATATTTTCACCATTATAGGATCATGTTTGCTGATATGCTTGCCTCCACAAAACTTTCCTACTATTTAATCATACCAGTTTTATCAGAGATACTATCATTGATTGCTTATCTCTAATATTTATTAAGGTACCTTCCATTTGTATATTTTGATTTATAGAATTGTCTAGATTTTTGATTTTCTAACTTTGGAAACTGATATGTTGTCAGTAAAATAACTATCATATGACTAGGCCAATGAAGAAATCTTCATAATGTGTGTTCCTGATTTTTGCAGCATATCGCTTTATTCTGTCTAGCTAAAATTCTTTTAAAGATTCTGAATAACATCTACTCCCATAAATACTTCCACCCAAAGTCTGAACTGTATTCAAAATTATTCTATCATTTTCCTTATTTCCTCAATATGTCTCAAGTTGATTCTTTTAAAATACCTATAGCCTTCCTCTCCCATTCTTTGATGATCTTTCGTACTCTAATCTTATCTACTCTTAGTCTATTATAAAGTAGATAAATGTTGATTCTAATATGTCTTTGTAAATCATCATTCTAAGAGCTCTTTATTATGACATTGTTCCTTCTGATATTTGTATGGAAAACCTTGTAAGAAAAGGCTTTATGAGTGGGTAATATAACAGTTATATTTTCTTTAGTGACCATGTTACTCCTAATAACAACTAAAATGTTTTTATCACTGGGTCATACTAGCATGTTTTATCAGTCTTTGCTGCAACCAGAATATTTCTCTCAGTGTTTAATTACATGGTATCATGTGACTTTTTCCCTTGAATTTTTATTTTGACTTTCAGAATACACTAAGGGGTTCCAAGTGCCTGGTACCACATGACTCATTTCTACTGATCAACACATCATTTCATACCTTTTTCTTTTGCTTGTATTTCTGATTATATAAACTCTTTTGTCATACTCTGTGTTCTGGTTAGGATGGAATATACTTTCATACCTAAAATTCTGAAAGTGTCAATAAAAGTTACTGTTCAAAACTACTTTCTCTCAAATCATGTTACTCAGTTTTGTTTTTTATTTTTTGGGTTGATTTTTTTTTTTGTTTATTCATTTTTGCAGTACTAGGCTTTGAACTCAGGGCTTCTCCACACTTGCTAGATATTTAAATTGAGTCAGGCATCTAGCCCTCAGTTTTGAATCAAATAATAAGAACAACAACATAAAACACTTACTAGCTGTGTTGAAATTTATCAGGACACTTCTCTGGAAGTCAGTTTCTTGAACAGTAAATGGAGATATTGATATTTTAGAGTAGCATTTTGACACTTAAAAAATTTCCTCTCTAACTATTGATATTTTCAGAGATAATTATTATAGAATAAAGGCAAAATTACCATATCTCAGAATATTTTCTTAAATATGCCATTTGACATCATTAAAGACACTAGAAAAACATTTAAATCCTACATGTCATTTGGTTCTATTGAAGTTAATTTTTCATGATCTTGGAAAAGTCTGCAAATAAAGAAAATTATCAAATAGATATGCTTAAATTGAAACACACTGGGGTAAAATGGAAGTATTTTAGTCATTTATGGGTTCTATTTACAGTAATTCTGATGACAAATGATGGAGATTTGCCAATGAACATAGAAAAGAGAAAGATTAAAGAAAAAGGAAAATTGCCGGCACATCTTGTACCCACCTGTAATCCTTCCTACTCAGGAGGCAGAAATCAGGAGGATCACAGTTCAAAGCCAGCCCCAGGAAATAGTTTGTGAGACCCTATCTCGAAAATGTCTATCACAAAAAAGGGCTGGCAGAAGTGGCTCAAGGTAAGGACCCTGAGTTCAAACCCCAGTACCACAAAAAAAAAAAAAAAAAAGAGGAAAGTATTCCTGTTAGACAAGCTAGGCAGATAGATTTTCTGAATAGTCTTCAAAGCTGGGTTCACACAGAGTCCACATAGATCTACTTAAGAAGAAAGGGATGCTTTTGCTCATGGTCAAACTGTCATATGCAATTTACCTATGTGGGAATTTTAGTAAATATTGAAGAACTATTTTAATTATTTATAAATCAATAGCAACACATATTCTGAAATAGTGAGGAACCAAGACCACTAATCACATAATAGTTCTGATAGTGTCTTAACCTAAAGAGATTCATTCAATAAATGAATACAGAACTCCTTCTAGAGCCAATCATGTCAAAGGTCATCTGAGAAGTATATTTTCTGGTGGGGGCATCTGGAAATCTGCATAAAGTAAACTGGCATTTGCATTGAGTGAATAATTTCACATTCTGGAAATGAAATCTCTCAGAAGTGAGATTCTGAGAGCACAGGAGATGGGGAGTGCTTTTGATAGAGTTATTCTGTGCTCAGAATGAATTAAAAATTAGGACCAGTTTATTGGTGTAGGAAAAATATTTCACGACATAGCAAGAACCTAGGGAGGTCTTGCTAATATGTTGTTGTTTAGCTCTTCCAAGCTTGGAAAAAAATGATGATCCACAATGCCTGAAATAAAACTGCTAGTGATGCCATGGCACATAGTGCAGAAAGGTATCACAATGTTCAGAGAGCTGGAGATGATAGACATTGTAAAATGATAAGAAACAACCAGCAAATATGGACAGTACTACAGGCCACTTCATTAAGTGAAGGCAGGAGAAATATATTGATGAAATGGTGCTAGATCATTGAGAAGTCCAGTTGTGGCCAGCTGCTGCAGTTTAGGCAAATGAAGAGATGGAGATGGTTAATAAAATGTGTTATTCCTAGGAGCCAGATAAATGTCTGCCAGCTAGGGTGATTCTCATTACCCTTGTGAGAATATATCTTCCAGTTGTTCTGCAATCGAACCATCTTCAGAGACTCTGGAGGGTTATGGTTTAAATGTTCTCTCCATAACTAATGTTGAAATTTATTTTTATTTTATTTTATTTTATTTTCACTTATTCACATGTGCATACATTGCTTGGGTCATTTCTCCACCCTGCCCCCTTCCCCCACCTGCCCCCTTCCCCCCCTCCTTAGTTCCAGGCAGGTCCTGGAATTTAATTTAATTTAATTTTAATTTAATTGCCAATATAAGGATATTAAAAGGTGATTAGGTCATGAGAACCCTAATCTCTTTAGTAGATTAAGGCTATCATTGTGAAAAGTGGTTAGTTCTCATGAGTATATTCTCCTCATGAAAGGATGAATTTGATTTGATATTTTTTTCTCCATTAAGGTTGTATCCTTTCCTGCAGTGTAGTTTTTACTTCTTGCTTTCAAAAAGTAGAGTGATGGAGTATATAGAAATAAATGTATATGGAAGAGACCTGACAAAGACTGCTTTGACCAAATGATCAAAGGGAAAACAGAGTGACAGAAAGTCAACAATATTGAAATGCATTACATCTCTGCAGATAGAGGATGTAATAAGCTGTACTGCAAGATGTTGAATAATGAGGGGTGGGAGGGAAAGAGTAAGGGAGAGTAACAAAGGGGTCTATCTGACCAAAGCTAAGTATATTCACAGCTGGAATACATGGAGAAACCCCTTTGAACATTGACTTTGGATTTAGTAATGAAAGATAAGAATACTAAAATATATATAGGGTGTTGGATGGGATATTTGGAGGAAGGGAGAGTGAATGAAGGAGATGAATATGAGGGAATATGATGGGATTCATATGTATACATGAAATAGAATTATGAACACTCAAAATAAAATATGCATTTAAAATAGTAAAAAAAAAGAAAGAAAAAAGAAAAGTAAACATCATCTGGAATAAGTCATGTGGAAAATATGCCTCTTTTTACCCACATCCTTGCCAACATTTATTGGTGCTATTGTTCTTGATGGTACCTATTCTAACAGGAATAAGGTAGAATCTTTTTTTCTTTCTTTCTTTTATTTTATCATTATCACTTACATGTGTATACATCGTTTGGGCCACCTCCCCACTCCCTGCCCCCCTGCCTGCCTCTGGGCAGAATTTGTTCTGCCCCCTTCTCTGATTTTGTTGAAGAGAAAACAGTGTTTTTGCTAGTTTGAGATAAAGATAGCTATACAGAGAGATTCATAGTGATGTTTCCATGCATTTGTGTATGGAAACCCACATTGGTTCATCTCTGCCAAACCTCCTCACTACTTCCTGGTCCCCTGCCCATAGTGGCCTCTGCCAATTTAAGATTACTTTATTCACTCCTCTACAGTGAGAACATCAACCACATTCAAGTTTTAAGTTTTAAGTTTTCTTCCCTTTCCCTATTCCTCCCATGAATGATCTCCCCTTAGTGTGTGACCCATGTCCAATAATACTACTGTAGGAGACCAGTAACTAGATAGAATGAGAAAGAATTTTGACATGTGCAAGGCCCTGACACAAAGGAGGTAAGCAAGGTTCAGCACAGCTGCCTTGCAAGTAGTGAGGATAGACCTTGGCATGAGCACGGACTCAGTCAAAGGGAGGCAAGGTTCAGCAAGGTTTTTCTATATGTCTGTCTTTGTGTCTTTTTTCTCAATCCCCAGTTGCTCCCAGTCAGGTCCCAGTCAAGGGACCTGCTCATGCTGGCCATGAGATATTACTGAATTTGTTCTAGGTCTATAATCTGCATATGAGGGAGAATATGTGACTTTTTTTTGGCCTTCTGAGCCTGGTTAACTTCACATAAGATTATGTTCTCCAGTTCCATCCATTTACTTGTGAATGACAAAATTTCATTCTTCTTAGTAGCTGAGTAAAATTCCATTGTGTATGAATTCCACATTTTCTTAATCCATTTGTCAGTAATGGGGCATCTTGCCTGTTTCCATAGCTT